TCTTTTAAACATTTCTGAAAGATGCAAAACTAAGCTTATGCTAAAAGAAAGCTACCCCTGTTCTTGGATAGGACAAATCAACATCATAAAAATATCAATTTAAGACCATCCCAATATGAATATCAACAAGTATATTTTAGAGAACTAGGGAAGTTGATGCTAAAGTTTGTAAGGAAAAAACAAACATGCAAGAATAGTTAGGAACCAAAAAAATTAAAAACTACAATGGTAAACTAGTTCTGTCAGACATTAAATCATGCAATAAGTCTCCACAAAGCAGGGTGCTACTGTGAAACAGACATAGACAGTAGCAGAGAATAGAAAGCCCTGGAGTAAATCTAAGCACATATAGAAATGATAAAGGAGGCATTGTAAGTTACACAAGCAAATATGTTTTTTTTAACATATGTGGCTGGCACAACTAGACAGCATTGAGGAAAAATAATCTGCATTCATACCTCACACCATACCAAAGAACAAACTTGTAGTCAGTGTCATTTCATTTTACATCCTAAAACTTCAGTCTTTTTCACAGTGAAAAGGCAATATGACGCTAAGAATTTTTTCCACATTAATCAAGAAACCAAATTTAAAAATAGTAATAACTTTTGGTCATAAAATACTAGAGAAAATGGATAAATTTCTCCATAAGAGATTTCTAATACTAATTTAAAATCCATGGGTAATAAAAGAGATGATTGATGAATTTGACTACTAAAATTTATTTTAACGTGCATGGTAAAATAAAATTTAAAAACTGTCTAATTACAAGGAAATACTTGCAATATATCAGCAATAAATAGCTAATTTACATATTTTAGAGAAGATTCTTAATATATGAAAATAAAAGAATCAAACTTTTATTTTAAAAATGGATAGGTATATATACAATGAGAAAATTTGCAAAGTTGATACAAAATGACCTTAAACATTTGAAAGGATGTTAAACGTCATTCATAAATTTGGAAGCTAAAATTATCTTTAAATATTATTTCTTACTTGATTGGGTAAAATTAAACACATTATGCTGAGCCTGAGGGCACGCTTATGCATTGCTTTGGGAATGAAAACTACTATAACCCCTTTCAAAGGGAATTTGATATCTAACAAAATTGTGTTTATTTGCTTGTGCAAAATACATTGATTGTGAAACCCCAATCTATAAATTCATCTTGAAAATATACTAATAACAAAATGAAAATATTAAACATTTTGTGTGTGTATATATATATGTACATATATATATATCAACATTGGTTATAATTTCTTTTGTTTGTTTTTGGGTTTATTTTTCTGGTACCAAGAATTGAACTCACGACCTTGTGCTTGTCAGGCAGGTGCTGTGCTGCTGAGCTAAATCCCCGGCCCCTATAATTCCTTATGTGGAAATCAAACTAAATATCAAAATAGAGGAAATATCAAAATAGAAGAAATTGAATAAACTATGGCATATTTACACAATTGAGTACTATGTAGTAATAAAAAACATGAGGAACATTTCTGTAAACTAACATGACATGATTTCCAGGATTTATTATTAGGTGAAAGAAGTCAACTACAAAAGAATTGCACCTTTCATGTAAGAAATAGAGACAAATAAGAAACTGTATAGGTATATTACCATTCTGCAAAAGAAATCTAGGAAGTGTAAACTAGAAATGAAATGAACCCACTACCTACAGTGGCTGAGAGAAGAACAGAATAGAAAGAATAGGAAAATAGAAGCTGGGACAAAGGAGAGGGTAGTTCTAAACATGTCCTTTTGTATTTTTTTATCCTTTACTGCTATAACAATAATGAAAGTAAAAAATGTCAGACTTAACTTTCTTAAATCATAAAATTACTACTTAGCATGATGTCTGTTACTTCATAGTTTTCAGATTCATGGATGATTATCTTTTTAATTGAATTAATTATCTGAAATCTACTATGTAGAAAGTAATATGGTAGGTGCAGGGAAGACTTTAAACTGGGAGAATGTACTGTAAATTACACTCAAAAACTCCATTCTCTAATCAGTGTCTCCCATATAACACAAACTAAAATATTACAGACATATAGAAAGTTGGAAGGAAAGGGGAAAAAGGAAAATTTTGAAATAAATATGAAACTCTATAGTATGAAGCAATTCGCTTTAAGTACACACCTTAATTTCATTCCAGTTCCTTTACAATTTTTGGCATTGTCTTCTTTTCAAAATTAAATAATACAAGTTAAAATTCAAGAGATAGACATACTAGAATCATGAAAGTAATATTAAAGAATATAAATCAATTGAAGAAATGCAAAGAGAACTGTGAGATTATGTGGGAGGAAATTACACAAGTGAAATCTACAATTAAGAGGAGAAATTGTGTAAACCATAAAAAGAGAAGGCAAAGAGGTAATGTTCCAGTCAGTCACAGAATACTTATTATCTAACAAAAAACAAGCAAACCAGTCTACCAGGTGAATGGCTCCACAGATACCGCAGTCTCTTAAGACCTTTTCTCTAGAACTTCCTGGAATTCAAGAAGCAATTGGTGTCTTTATGGTCTAAACCCCTAACAGTAGGGTACTCTGTTACTTACAGTTGAGAGCATTTCTAACTTAACACACTCTTGGAAGCAGACACGATTGTTTCAAATACATTAACAATGTAATTTTATTAACCTAAATAATTTCATCTATTAGTTTCCAGAGGGAGGAAAAATCAACCTGAAAACAATGGATAAGCAAAACAACACACAAATAAAACAAAGCAAGCAAACACATCCCATGCTTGTAGGAACTAGATACCTTGTCACTTCCCTTGTACTCAGTGAATTTCAAATCTGACAGAGGAAAGAAAAATATGACAGAGGAACTGGTTCCAAAAGATCCCAAAGACCCTATGGTTCTAATTGACAATGGACAGATGGATTTGGGGGTCAAATAAAGTCCAGCCATCTGTGTAAAAATTGGCTAAAACATAGGTCACATATCCAAGACAACAGCTAAAAAGGAAGAAAAGCAGATGTTTGATGAAGTTATAAGAGAAGATATGCAACAGTGTCTGGATGAGACTTTACATGTAATAAAAGGCTATGAAAATAGTTATTTTTATTATCTTTAATAATATCCTTTTTTTACTCTGACAATTGTAGGGAGTTTCAGTCTGGAAAATAAGATTTACTTTTTATGTTGTAAGAACAATTGTTTTTACTTTTATACATCAGCATTTAAATTTGCAAACCAAATATATTTGTTAATAATAAAAATACCTGATAACTTTCTAAAATTTAAGGAAAATACTTAAAATGAGACTAAGCAGAAGGTTGCTGTTCTTCTTACCAGTTATATAATCTCTTCAATTTTTAAAAATACTTATATGCATCTAAAACTTTCTGGTCCATGCCGTATAGAATAAAAGAAAGTCCAAACTTAGTAAAAATCATAAATTCAAAAGAAAACATGAATGGAAAACAATGAACAAAAGAAGAAAGCAGTACCATCTTTGCTGTGTTAATAAAAGCGTGTTTTTTGTTTTTTGGTTTTTTTTTGAGACAGGGTCTCACTATGCAGTTCAGGTTGGCCTTGAATGCACTATGGAGTCCAGGCTGGCCTAAAACTCATGGTGATCCTCCTGCCTCAGCCTCCCAAGTGCTGGGATTACAGGCATGTGCCACCACACCCAACATAAAGCTCATTATAGATGGACAGAAATTAAAGAAAACCTATATCAAATCCAACACAACACATCTATGTTTTAATCTCCAGTTGACATGGCTGATTATTTCTGCAGTGGAGACTGATGACCAGGCTTTTACAGACCAGGTGAGAAGGGAAAGGTCACTCACCTTGCCTGTGCAAGGCTCAAAATACATTGATACTCTCAATGTTTCAAAAAGCAAAGCAACGTTTTTAGGGTTTTTAGGCAAATAGTTTTTAAGTTCATGAAAGCACAGACATAATCCCTAGAGACTACTGACTGGTCCTGTAGTGTGCTCAGCTCCTTCGCAAAGATCCTGCTTAGATATTGTTTTGCTCAGTGTCTGTGAAGACTTGAGTTCCTGCTCTCATTTCATTTCACATCCTTATTTCTTCGGTGCTTTTTACATAAATAAAGGGCAACGTAAGCCTAAGAATTTTAGTTTCCTTTTTCTTAGATCGCATATTTTCCTTTTTCCATCCAATTCCAGGCAGTCATCAAGTACTTTTCTCTCTTCCTGATGTTTAAATAACCTTTGGTCTTGTAAATAATGTAACGCCATAAAGTAGAGCCCCTACTAACCCATAGCACAGCCGTCCAAGAACTTTATGGCCTCATAATTCAATCTGCAGCAAGAGAGTAAGCAAGTGACTGCTCACCAGGGAATTTCAAGTCTAAGACGCGGTGCCCTTCTATGTTTATTTTACAGTCACTTCTGAGATTTGACCACTGATTAGAAACAGAAAATTTCAAATTCTGATATTTTGAAGAAACAAAATACAGCAAACGTGACTGCAACACACCTGCTTGGTGGTAAAATGGGCAAAGATTTGTAGAGATCCGAGTTCAAAAACTTCCCACCAATAAGCCCGTGGTACAAACTAAGTACCACTTGTTACTGAGCAGGCAATAAAATCACAAAATATTACAACTGGAAAGGATTCTGGACATCTAGTCACATGTCCTTCCCACTGTAGAAATTCCTCCCACCACATTCCCATTTGGGAGTGACCCAGTCACCACATGAAGATAAGGGCTGGCTCTCCGGAATCTGACTCCATTCTGTAAAACACCGCTTTAAGAAGTCTCCTTCAGAAGCCAGCAGTCGCCTCTTTATATCTTCAGCTTATTGATTCTACTTTATTCATTTAACCAGCACTTATGGCATAACTACTCTCAGCAGTGGGCAGTATTTCCATAAAGATAAACCACGTCTGCCCTTTACCCATCTGGAGAGACAAACCCATGAACAAGAATAAAAATGAAGCACCTCTTGCCTTTCCTTTACACTGCTTCCCTTGCCGCCCACCCCAGCCCGGGTACTGTTTACCTGAATCACCCCTCCCAAGAAGGAGACTGCTGCAGCAACGCCGATCCTTTGTACCTCGAAGTCAGACAAGCCCAGCAGACTTGAGTTATTCTGTGTGGTGAGGTTCTGGCTGCTTTGAGGGACCAGCCGTTCCACAGCATTGGCTGATATTAAAGACGTCAAGGCAAAGGTGCCTAAAAGGGGAGTGTGGAGAATCTGCTATTAATAAATGAAAAATAAAACTGCAATAAGAACTATTGGGTTCTACCATTAAAGTTAAAGCAACATTGTAAAGGTAAGTAGATCTATTAGAAACGCTCTCTTCGGTTTCCCCGGTTCTCTAACTTACATGAACTCCATGGAAGAGCAGGTGCCTCCCTGCACACACATTCCTTCCACGTGCAGCCCTGTGGGTCTACCTGCCTTGTCTTTTGGACATTGATTTTCCTACCTCTCTGCAGACTGCACAGAGGAGACTGGGGCAGAGACTAATATCATGGTCCAGACTTAAATGCAAACTCTCAATGTACCAATTGCTTAAAGTTTACCTAAAGCACTCTGGATTTAAATTGCTTCTTCCATTAGATACAGGTAATATCTATGATTCAGGGCTTGGGGCCAATGTAAAGGGGATAAATTTGAAGGCCTCAACAGTGACTAAATACAAAATCTTTGGCTGAAATGCTTGTTCACCAACCTACCTGTGCAAACCCTACTTGTCTTTAAAGGTCTCACTCTAACTCCACCCCAGTTGCTCCAAATCAGGATTAAATTTTTCTCTCTTCTGTGTTCTCATATCCAGCATAACTTTGTTATAATATAGTATGCTGTGATCTGTAAAATGATTAAATATGCCATTTCTGTCTACAATTATTAAATAATGTTCAACAGTACTTTCCGAGAAATTTTTATGACCTCATACATATGTGGGTCCATGCTAACTGTGTTCCTCTCTGCCTGCCAACGTCTCTCTCCTTGGCACACCGTGCCTGAGAATGAAACCATACGGATATGGAGATGCTGATTCCCAAAGAGAAGGTCAGCGCACTTGGGTTAAAGAAATAGCAGCAGCATTATGCAAACCTTCCCCCTGACTCACTGCTTAAAGACTTGACTTTGCTACAAGTCATGAGTGAGACTTTTTGGAGAAAAGGCCTGTGCAAGGTACAAACAACCCAACACAAAGCATGCCGCAGCACAGGCAAGAGAGACAAGAGTCCCACAGCAGAGGATCTTAATGGAAACCAGACTCACACAGTCCTCTTGTCTTACCAAAGACAAGGGGCAGGATATCCTTATCAGTGAAAAGATAACACTCCTCACCCAAAGGATTATTATGAGATAATCAAATGTAATGTATGTCATGGAGTTAGCATCTAAGGGCATTAGTTAGCACTTGATAAATAAATACTACCTATTAAGATAAATGTGAGTAAAATTAAGTTCAGAATGCTCTGTTACGGTGTGTTAATCTGTGTTCTTCTCTGAGAGTTGATGGCACATGAATTGAACATGGTTCTCTTAGTGAAACAGGTAATTTCCAGTAAATCATCAATGCATATTAGCCATCATGACCATTGTTCTAATCATAAAGAACTAAAGAATACATCAAGGAACTAAGATTTGATGATTTAGAGACAAGATTTTGGTGAGGAGATGAGCCACACTAGGAAGGAACATTCACCATAGAACCCCATCTTGACAAGACATTTTTCAGTGTATGTTACAACAGAATAATTCTGAGATCAATTCAGATACTTCTGACACTGAAGAAATGTATCTTTCGATCTTTAAGTCTCCGAAAGAACCTGGGAAAAAATATTTTTACAGAAGCCATTGAACAAATGACTACAGAATTGAAAATAAAGTCATAAATGAGTTAATTTCTAGTTTGAAACTATTTTTCCTGGTATTTGAAGAAAAATAAAAGGAAATTGGGTGGTAGGAGAGATCAGTTGAGGGGCTGGAGTTGCTGTGAAGATATGGGGTGGATATTCTATTTTTTCCATCTTGCAAATCTCATCCTTGCTTTTATCTCCACCCTACCACTTCTCCATTCTTTCCCTCATTCTATCAACTTTTTACCCTAGTTGGGCTTTAAGCCTTTTGGCAGAACCCTTTAAAACCACTAACCCATCGTAAGTTAATAGTAACGTGGGTAGAACTGTCTAACAGGAAGTGAGAATGGATTGCAGAATTAGACCCAAGTTCAAGTACCAGGTCTGCTGCCTGTGGTCTTAGTCAACTTACTCAGCCCCTCTCTGCATCTTTACTTTTAAGTGATGATAAAACAGATTCAAAATTTCAGTGGAGACCAAATCAGGTTTTATATATAAAATGATTTATTCTCAATCCTACAATATTGTAGGCTTTCAGTAAATAACTGTCAACTTATTTTCATTTCTTCTAAAAAGCATCCAATAAAGTCTTCCCAGCTTTTCTCTAAGTTGCTTTTGAAAGATTTTGCTCTTTCAAAAATGTTTTTAATTTAAATGCTGAGTAAATCCTATGAATTGTCACATATTTGTTATCTTCAACAATTCTCTTTCCATTGGACTCAAACCCAGGTTTCTAGTTTTACTGTATTCTTTGCTTTTTCTATTCTTGTCATAAGAAATAGTCAACTAATTTATTCCTTTTTTGTTCTAAACAATTATAGTTTAATTTAAAATAAGAAAATTCACATTGTTGATCAAAAGAGCACATTTGATGTCTTTGTACTCTGCCTTTATGAATTATTTAATTTTTAAAAGATGCTTCTAGCATAGTTTATTGCAGCCTTTGGTAATTCAGTATTGTATTCTGAACACCTAGGTTAGAAGAAAACCCTAAATAAAGTAATTTTTCTTCATGAAAAACTCTCTAAGTAAATAAATCTCTTAGTAAAGTGGAAGTGAGAATGTTCCTATCAGATACACTAAAGTAAAATAAAATAATTTAAGAGAGAAATATGTTTTATGAATTAAATATATATTTGGAGGACCTTTTGGAGAAATTCAATTAGTCTTTATGTCTAAAATAATAGAAAAGTCAAAAACTAGTGACTTTCATTCATGCCAGACATTCCTCTGGCATGTTTATCATTCCATGTGGATGAAGGATCACATCTTCCTTTTTTGTTATAAATCATTCTAACTATTGGGTTAAAAATTAAATTAAAAGGTTGAGCTGGCTCTGAGAAGTACAAATACAGAAATGAAATGCTGTTAAGATTTATCGTGCCAATACAGCAACTGTAGTTGTCTATAAATTATATGGATTCTGAATTACCTGTTATTTACCTAATAGGCCCAAATTTCCTCTAGCTGTTAATAATTTATTAAATAACTTGCTAATTATACATTCTTCTACAAAAGATAATTTCAAAACTATTCAACGAGTAAAACACTTACAGTAATTGCCTAGGAAGTAAAATTGTTTATGTAAATATACATTTAGGTATTACCAAATTGTATATTTTCAACTTCCTAATGTAATTATGGTCTATGGAACAAATTTTTCTTGCCTTTTTCTTTTTCTTAGGTTCCTCTTAGAGAGGAAATGCTTGTGGGGCCAGCTCTAAAATAATATGATTTTTCTTGTTAGGAACATATTTAAATGTTTTGAAAAATGAAAATAAATTTAGGAAATTATGATGCAGAATAATTCAAAAATAATAAGCTCTTAAGAAGTTCTAATTTATCCTTATGCTCATCTTCTTTTGCACAAATACAAAAGAAGAGCTTGTTCTAGAATTCCTAGTTGTCAAGAAATAAAAGGCTAAGGCTTTAGATTTGGCTGTGTCTGTGTTAAAAGCCATGTATCTGTGTCGTTAATCTGTGCTCTTACAAGAAACTTTCTGAATTTGGGGGTTTGTGGGTCCTTTTTCATCTAAAATATATGGATAATAACATCTATTTCAAAGGATTAAGTTAGGACAATATAATATGTAAAGCTCTTAATAAGTACTTAATGGATGGTATATGCAGAGTTCTAAAAGTTAAATATATATATATAAAGTGCATATTATACATACATACATTTAACATATACCTATATAATGATATTTGTTTTATATACAGTTACACACCTTAATCACAAAGATACATTCTGAGAAATGCATTGTAGGCAATTTTGCTGCTGTCCAAACATAATACTGTAATTAGTCAAACTAAAATAGCTATGACATCACTAGGTAATGACACCTTATGGGACCATGGTCTGTGCTGTTTGTTGTTGACCTAAATCCCATTATGTAGCTCACAACTCTGTGTGTGTGTATAAAATGTGTAAATGATAGAAAGCTTGTGAAAATGCTAACTCTAATTCAGCAACTCGGCAATAGAAACCAGGAGTTAACCTTCCAATAGCTCCACATTCATGGAGCACATTTTAGATTGCAGTGTTTTAAATAACTGCTAATTATTGATCCTTCTCCATGACAAAGTTTATTGACATAAAAAGCTAAATTTACATAAATAAAAATTATGTTATGTGAAACTTTATGTGGCAGTGTGGTAGGCAAAATAGTAGTCCCCTAAATATGTCTACATCCCAGTCTCCAGAATCTCTGAATACATGGTGTTCCATAGCAAAGGGAAGCTATTGCTGCAGATGGAATTAAATTTCCTAATGAGCTGGCCTTAAAATAAGGAGATTATCCTGGATTGTGCAGGTATATGCAGCATCATCATGATATGCTTTCAATAGGAAAGCTGGAGGCAAAACACCAGAGTCAGAAGAGATTTGAAGATGCTAACTGCTGGCTTTCAAAACAGTCAAGAGGGGCTAGGGAGATAAGTCAGTGTCATAAGCATGTGCCTGGCAAGTGCAAGGTCCTGAGTTTGATTCTTAGTACCAAAAAAAAAAAATGAAGTTGAAAATGGTCAAGAGTGAAAGAAGCAAAGGAACACAAAACCCCAACAGAAGAGGAAAGAGTCATAAAAATGGTCTCACCCCTAGTTTCCAGAAAGGCATATAGGCCACTAACTCCTCAGTGTTAGCTCTGTGGGACTCATTTCTACCAACCTCTAGAACCAGAGTAGCTTTCTGTTGTTTTGAGCCACTAAACTCATGGTAATTTGCTGCAGCAGTGAGAGAAAACTAATACGACGAACCACATAACTCACCACTGAAGAAATAGCCTACAGTAGTATCACTTAGAGGGTGAGATCTTACATGAACAAAATAAATAGAAATGCACCTGCAGATATTT